TCACACAAATTTCAGGTCTAACTTTTATCTCCAAGCTTCCCCTATACAAACCAAATCTTTCTCAGTTAATGATACCTTCTGTTATTTTACATGTAAACAGACACATAATTATACATAACCATGATAAATGATCACAGCAATACAGTAAAATAGACAAAAATATTTGTTGCTTTTATTTCCATAATGATGAACACCATTCAAAAGGTATTATTTAATGTATCAGTGATCTACAATGCATTCTCAGCAACCAAACTCAAATATTGCAACACATCTTCTATATGCTTAAATGAAATATTCTGTCCATAAAATTGTTGAAGCTTCGCTAACAATACTTTAATTTCTTCATTAGATGTGGATTTTTGTGTCCAGTGTCCAGAGGACCAATATGCTAGCACAGAGCAGAATCGCTGCATTCATAAAGCTGTTGTATTTCTCAGCTATGAAGAACCATTGGGGATGGCACTTTCCTTAATCTCGTTGTGCTTCTCTGCACTCACAACTCTGGTTCTTGGGGTCATTGTAAAGCACCACAGTACTCCCATTGTTAAGGCCAATAACCGAACTCTCACCCACATCTTGCTCATCTCACTCATCTTTTGTTTCCTCTGCCCCTTGCTCTTCATTGGCCATCCAAACTCAGCCATCTGCATCCTACAGCAAATCACATTTGGAGTTTTATTCACTGTTTCTGTTTCTACTGTGTTGGCTAAAACAATTACTGTTGTTCTGGCATTCAAAGTCACAGCCTCACGTAGAATGATGAAGTACTTTCTTGTTTCACAGGTATCTAACTACATCATTCCCATCTGTACTCTAATTCAAGTTATTGTATGTGCACTCTGCCTAGGAGCTTCTCCTCCATCTGTTGATATTGATGCAAGATCAGAGCATGGTCACATCATCGTTGTTTGCAACAAGGGCTCAGTCACTGCCTTTTACTGTGTACTGGGATACTTGGCTAGCCTGGCCTTTGGGAGCTTTACTCTGGCTTTCTTTTCCAGAAACCTCCCTGCTGCCTTTAATGAAGCCAAATCCATAACATTTAGCATGCTGGTGTTCTGCAGTGTCTGGGTCACTTTCATCCCTGTTTACCACAGCACCAAAGGGAAGGTCACGGTGGCTGTAGAGATCTTCTGCACTTTGGCGTCCAGTGCAGGGATGCTGGGATGCATCTTTGTCCCCAAATGTTACACAATATTGTTTAGACCAGACCAAAATTCTCTTGAAATGATCAGGGTCAAATCATCTTCACATGCTCACATTTCATAAATTCTGAAAAATGTATAGTTGGTTCATAATCTCCAAATATTGGATTATGTTGCCATACCTATCTGGTTTTGGAATAACTCTCACTATTTCCTCTAATGACATTGCCTAGCAATTACATGTCTTCTTATATTCCCATCATCTCCTTTAATATTGCACAATGTTCTAAAGCAATCTTTCTCTTTGCCAGAAGGAGATAATAGAATTCTGATCCATTGTAAGAGTTAGAAGAGTTCTTCTAGGAGCACAGAGGAGAGGGGAATATTTTTATCAACTGGTTGTTAGAGTATTTCCAAAGATGAATTTATGTCTCTGCAGACATAATCATATCCTGCTCCTGTAGAGGAACTGATTGAACACTCAGCCTCATCATCTGTTGTTACAGAACACTTGTAACAACAGCTACAAAGAATCAGATGCTCTAGTCCAGGCTCCATATTCACCTGAAGCTATTTATGCACATAATGAGACACACAACCAGACACACCCATCCACACACACTCACACACTCACACAACTGAACTTACATAAAATTTAAAAAGATATAGAAGAATGTTACAAAAATGTTACACTGGGAATCTGCTTTTTAATGTTCTCCTAAGGTGTTCGAATTAAAGAAACCTACCGAGAAAGGGTCAGATATGGGTAGAGATGTCTGGGTTTATTTTCAGACACTTTATAGAAGAACTCTCAATGTTAAGAATATCATTAAAGACACACTTATGAAACTGTCAAGGAAAGCTCAGCTTCTTGAAATAATCTAATCTGTGTATTTATTTAGGTGACTCTTTGCAAAAGATCAGCTTTGACACAGAGTAACCTGAGGCAGGTAACAGGTGAGAACAGTGCTGAGATCAGCTGACATCAATTGGATCCGAAACTCACCGGGGCTGCTGGCTATGACATCCTGTGTTTAGAGAAGAGAAGGAGAATGAGAAATTACACGTTGACAGACACAAGCACACACACATGCAAATGTACATGAACATTAGCATGCACACACACAATGGTTGAAGCAAAGATGAATTCTAGCAACTTAACACATACAAATACATACATTTAGACACACATAGAGAGACAGAAAGACAGACATACACATTCTCACACATTTGATGGATGGAGCCAAGCTCTTACAATCAGGTTATGTTTCACATAAACACATATGTGCCCATATACACAGATGCACATGTACATGTGCACATATACTAGTAGGTGGATGGAACAAATTTCCAACAGGCAAGCTCCAAGTATTTTACATATGCACGTATATATGCACAGATGCACATATATACATGTACACATACTAGTGGGTGGATGTAACAAAGTTCTAACAGACTGGTTTCAACTATTTTTCACACAATACACATACGTATATACACATAATTGGTTGAAGGAGCAAACTCCATAACACACCCACACATCTTTACATATCATACATTTGTGCAACTTTACATCTTTACATATATGAAGATATGATGGATGGAAAAACTGGATTTAAAATTTAAGATAAACAATGAATTTATTATAAATATAAATATTTAAGGAAATTATGGGTGTGTGATGATCTTGATAGTTTTGGATCCAGCAGGATTCAGGACATTTCAAGACTGGACACAGTTTTTAATTCTCAAGACAATGTAAGTACAGACTTTGATTAGATATTCTGTACCTGTCACTGCTGTAGCTATGTCCATACTGCATTCTCAATGGATATAAAATGCTCTAAACATGAGGCTGCTTTTCCCTCTATGGGGTTCTGAGACACACTGGCCAGTGTGTAATCATGACATCAGATTTTGTGAATCATTCCAGAACCATTAATGTATGTCTTGCAATGGATCAACTAACAAAACCCACTGAAATTATTTAAGGTGTTCAAATAAACAGATTGTCAGGCCAGTCTGGGACCTAATTTTCACAAAGAAGAATCTTTCCAGGGACATTAATTTCCACAAACATGTGTGATGTCATCCATCACACATATAGTAATCTATATTTATCAAACAAGTTTATGACATGCGCAGTGG